TCTTCACTACCGCGATGATCATTTGACGTGTAACGCTGAGGACACTGTTGAACAAGGGTTCGACCGTCGATTTCGACGATGTCCGCCACGAGTTTCAGCAAGCTGAAGGCAGACGCGGGACTACAGCTGGATTATATTTAAAGTACACTCACCGGATCTACCCCACTCTCTGACAACTCACACACCTGTGTCCGATGTAATAACAAAAGTCAATAAGACCGGAGATGGAGGAGAGCGCAGGCGACTGACACGACCAACACTCATACGCGTACCAACAGCAGGCTCCCGTTTACGTGGGAGCGACACGCACACTGAGGGTCGACCTCACGCTCCACTACCGCCAGCAACAAGCCGCCGCCTAGCTAATCGATGGCTTGAGGTGAGTGGGTAGTGTGGAGACCCATACTGCCGTACACAGCCATACATACAACCTGGTCCCTAGGGCATGTACCAGTCTACGCTAACGGCACCTCGGATTTCGTATCACTGGCAGTACCATAAAACCAAATTAGTAGGCGCCAATGTAGTTTGACTAGAAGTCTACCAGTCATCTAACTATCTCCCATGAAGACCGACTTATCTACTGTGCTGGAGTCATGATAGATTCAAACGCGTCAGACTTATCATATTCTGAAGTGCACTGATGGACCGTGGGGATAAAGGCCCCAGTGTCTGTATCACTATCTTTTCCTCTTTCGAGGACCGATCGGCTGTTCGAGCCTGTCAACCAGCTGGTGCAGGAATCGGTTGTGTTGCCTGACGCGGCATGAAGGCTGAAGACTAAGTCGAGTTACACGCACGTACGACAGTAGTTATGGGTTCGCGTGAGCCCAGTGAATCCGACTACCGTTTCATCCTTCGATGGGACCAAGGCTGTCTGTGGAAGACCACCATCACAACCGTTTTGAAAATGGCCTGTCAAACAAGGACAGCGAGAATTAATCATTTAGGTCAGTCAACTCTCGGTTGGGTTATCTGCAATACGCGGTTGGACAAGCCGACATATTAGGCGAGGTTACTGATGTAAAGTTTTTCAATCGCGCGTGGTCGAGATCAGTTAGTTTTTTTATAAAATACAAAATAGAGACTGTCTACTCATAACCAAAGGACATTTTGTTAAGTGCTTCCTATATCTTGCATTCTAGACCTCCCTTCAACTGGTTTACCTAAACCTGTCCAAAAACAATTTCGGGGAGGGAACTCCAATTCCCTTTGGACGTGGTATTGCTCAGTCTGAATGTCTACAGGAACTGGACATCGGTTGGAACCACATTCGCGGCAAGGGCATGAAACAACTGTGCCAAGGCATTGCCGTAAGTAGAACTTTGAAGGACAACTTGTACCCATCCCTCTAAAATTTTGTCGCGACTGATTGTGCACTGAACTTCTGGAATCCAAGGTATTTTTGAAAAGTGACAATAAAGTCTTTAAAGCCCTTGGGGGGGAGGATTACATATATGCGATGTGTAGGGAGAAACTATGTGATGCTGAGGCTTAAAGAAGATAATTTAAAGTTGAAAACTTAAGGTGCAACCGCACGTGGTCATCTCCGTGCAAGATTATGGAATGTCACTGATTTACAGCATAGCTTTGTTTTCTGTATATCCCTCGTAAGTGCATCTTCTAAATTTTAGTCTACAGTCAGTTTTCGAATTTCTTTTTTATCTGTGGTATCAGGCTGTTTCAAAACTTGTCCTTCCGAGCTTGCTTTCGGGACCTTTGTCTTTCAAACTTTTATTTTGTACGTAATCCTCAGTAATCTGGACAGATGAAAAGTAGCCAATATGATGATTTAATCGACAACAGCTTACCACAGAAAATTAAATAGGGAATTTATTGAGAAGAAAAAGAAGTAAATGTGATCGCTGGAACGAGAATTTTATTCGCCTGATATTTCGAAATCCGTTGTGGATCCTTAATCTGAAACAAAAGCAAAAACGGGTATTTCTCCGATGAAAGACCCGCGACTGATTTAGAAACCTCAGGCGAATAAAATTCGTGTTCCAGCGCTCACATCTACTTCTTCTCAATTACTTCTTGGGACTCGCATGTTCGTTTGTATAGGGGAATTTATGCTTGTAGGGGTCCAAGTAATGGTTGTACTCGGATCACTAAAATCATCAGATCGAATCCCAGCTTGGAAGTTAAAAGGCAGAAGTCACCAGAAGGAGGGATTTGTTGTGTACAGAATTCCCTATTGCTGTTACAGGCGGCAGTGGCCACTGAGGAAGCCAAGGCTAACGTTGACTGCGTCCAGCCAGACCTGAGAGAGCATGAGACAGTAGTGGCAGCTGCTTAAGTAGGATTGCGGAGCAGGTTCAAGTGTTCTGTTATTGATGTGTTGCAATTTCCCGAGGGGACGCGCGTGTATGCGCGGGTGTGTGCGACGTGTATGCGTGATTGAGTAAGCTGAGGTCAACTGTGGGGGGCCGCCGGAAAGCCGAAGGACAGGGGATATTGGCGCAGCTGTTATCAGTTAGCCAGAAGTAGCTGCGAGGTCAATCCTCGGGGGACGGGGGCGCCCGTAAAAGAAAGCATTGGAACGGTTGTTTGTGACGACGCACGAATTTGGGTAGCGGGCCTCGGAGAACGAAGGGGGAACAGGCATGGTGGCCGTCCGCCACATGCTTAACCTGTCCAACAGTAATGCTGCAGTCAAGAAGACAGAGGGATGGTGGTAAGGCGAAGGTCCCAGGCATCACGTTAGAATGCGCACAGTAGTCCAGTGTCCTAAACCGACCCGGTTCACCAGAAGAATTTACCG